CTCCATGGGCATTATCATGTAGGCGACCTCCATGCCAGGAAGCATCTGCGCGGAAAGCACGCGCGCGCGGCGTCCAAGAAGCAGGGCGGCGCCAAAAGAGAGCCAGCACATCCACTGGCCATGCGAGCTTCGAGGGAAATCGCAAGCCAAACCGGAGCTGTCAACTGGGGGCAATGGCGAGGACGACATCGGAGGCCTGTCCTCGCCGCCCGTCCGTCCGTCCGTCCGTCGTCATCGTCCTCGTCGTCATCCTTGTCGTCGTCGTCGACGTTGTCGTCGACGTCGTCGTCGCCGTGGTCGTCGTCGTCGTCGTCGTCCGCCGTCGTCCGTCGTCCGTCCGTCGTCGCCGTCGTCAGAGTCGCACTGCCGCGGGCGCGGTCGCGGCCTGCCCGCCCTCGGCCGTGGCGACGGTGCCGCCCGCGTCAGCATCGGGCGCCTGCGGGCGCGGCGGTAAAGGCGCCCTGTGAACAGGGGGAGAGGGAAGGGGGGGGGCTGGGGGCTGAGGGGAGAGGAGAGAGGAGAGGAGAGGAGAGGAAGGAGAGGAAGAGGAGAGGAGAGGGGAGGGGAGGGGAGGAGGAAATGACGGGAGGGGAGAGGACAAGGGAGAGGAGAGGAGAGGAGAGGAGAGGAGAGGAGAAGGAAGGACAGGGGAGGGAGAGGAGAGAGAGGAGAGGAAGGACAGGGGAGTGAAGGAGAGGAGAGGACAGGGGGGGAGAGGGGATAGGGGAGAGGAGAGGAGAGTAAAGAGGGGAGGGGAGAGGGGACGGGGGGGCTGGACGGCGACGACGAGGGGGAAGTGAGGGGGAAAGGGCGGGGAGCGAAGGGATAAAGATCGGAGGGATGGCGAGGAGGAGGGGGGATAAGGGGGTGGGCGAGGGGGGAAGTGGCAGGCGGACGTGGAGCAGGGTGGACAGGGAGACAGGAGACGGGGGGAAGGACGAGAGCGAGCAGGGGGGAGGAAGAGGCCAGAGAAGACCAGAGCAAACCCAGCACGCACCACTGATGATGCAACGCGCCCTCCCGTCAAAGCAGGTTGTGACCGGGGGCTGAATGTGCCGCACTGGACGGCGTTCACCGAATTGTCTCACTGACCTGCTCAGTGCGACTGGACACGAACTAGACCTCTGCCACTGAGCAGACCCGAACTTGCCTGGCCAAGCCACGCCGCTTAATAGACCCAGCTGAACTTGCCAAGCGAATCTGGCCCAGCTGAACTGACCTGAAGCTGGCCGACCTCTACCTATCCTGACAATGCGGCCTTCCAAAACTGCCTGCCCTTGCCTGTTCCGGACCGTCCTGAACTGACCTTCGCCGGCTCGGCTGGCGCACCTGGCACCCTGAACTGGACGGGCTGGCTGAACCGTCACTGACCCGGGCAGGCCCACAACGCGCCCGAGATGCCCCCGACATGGGTCCAAGAGGGATGTCTCCGTCGTTGCTGCCCGGGGCCCCCAACCGAGCCTCCGGCCCGCAGCGATGTGTCCGTGGCGCATGAAAGTCTGGGCTGCGGGCCTCAAAAACAACCGCCAGGCTCTCCGGGGTTGCGCTTTGGCCAGGATCCCAAGCGGAATCCAGCCGCGATAGCAAGAAGCCTCCCAGAGGCCCCACAAGGACGGAGCGACTGCCAACAGCACGAGTCCTCGCACCTCCAGCCAGCCGTCTCGATGCTTCCGTGAAGGGGTAGGTCTGCGGAAGGGCCCAGCAGGGCCCCGCGCAAGAGGGCGGCGGCTGTGCACCGACACCGGCCTTGACCAGGCCCATCGAGGACCCCCAATCGGCGTACAGTCAAAACTGATAGGGAGGATGCGCGATTCGCGACCAGGATGCCATGACAATAAACTCTCGAACCGCTCGATCATTGAATTAAACATGTCTGTGACGTGAACTCTACATGTTTTAAATATGCTCGAGACATGTTTAAAACATGCTTGGCAATTTAGAAGCACCTTTCATGTTTTAGACATCTGGAACAGTTATGGCAGTATGCCTCCTCTCTATTTACCCACCGACCCCTTGTGGGTCTCTAGGCGTGTGAGATTGCTCCCCCCAGAACCCCCCCAGGGACCCCAAACCGGAGATTTGACCCCCCCCCCAGCCCCGGACGAACGCGCCATGGGAGCCCACATAGGGCCCAAAGACGGGCCACGAGGGCCCCAAGTGGGCCCCAAGACGATCCAAGAGGGCCCCGAATCGTCCAATAATCGTTCTAAGACGCCCAAGATGGCATCCAGACGGCCCAAGATGCCTCCAAAACGCCCCAAGAGGCCTCCAAGAGGCCTCCCAAAAGGCAACGAAGAAGTGAAAATTGCTCCAGTCCCTCAGGAACTCGTATGTTTCAAACATATTCGTCTCTTGCGCTTTCATACCGTGCAAGACGGCCCAAAAGACCCCTAGGATAGCTCCAAGACGGCCCACAAGGGTCCCAAGACCGCCAAAGAAGCCCGATGACGGCCCCAGATGGCCCCCGGACGGCGCCAAACGGGGGACCACGGGGGGAACCCGAACCCACATTTCCAGCCTTCGGTCCCAGGACGCCCACAGGTCGCTTCAAGAAGCCCCGAACACGCCCCAAGAAGCCCCCAGGGAGCCCAAACAGAGCCCCCAAATGCCCCAAAGAACCTCCCAGGAATCGAACAAGCCTCGTGGAATGCAGTCCTGGACGCGCAGTAGTTAATAGAAGGGTCGGCGGATGTGGCGTAAGCCTATAGAATCGTCTTCCACAAGCGATGCGCGATAAGAATGCAAGCCCCTTGGACGCCCAAGTCGAAGCTTCTCGAGCGGGGCGGGCAATCAAACGGGGCCACGGCTGAACCGCGGAGGCGAGCACGTACGGGCAGCCCGGGGGCAGGCTGCCCATCCTTACGATCGATGTCGACGGCACTTGAGCAGGGACCGACCGTCCCGGCATTTCTATAGGCCTACCACGACATGTTCTTAGAACCCACTAATGTTCTAAGAACAAGAGCAATGTTCTTAGAACATAAGCCCGATGTGCTAAAACAAGACAGTCCCAGCCAGAAATGTTCTAAGAACATGTCGTGGACACCACAGGAAAGGTTCTTAGAGCATTGTTTGGCAGGCCGATAGGCACCCCAGGACGCTTCGTCACTGCTTGAGGCACGCCCTCCTGGGTGGCCAGGAGGGCACGCCCTTGCACCTGGAGTGGGACGGAAGGGGGGGGCGACAGCAGAGGGGGGCCTGGCGAAGCAACTCCCGCCGCTGGCGTGACCCCGTCGCCTCCCAGCGCCCGGAGGCGCCGATGCATCGAGGAAAAAGCGCCCGGCGGCGGTGCCGCGTCGGGCCGCAGCCTCCCCTTTTCCCTATCCCCCCTCTTGTCTCTGGAGGTAGGCAAGGGGTATGATATAAAGGGGTGTAGTGTTAATTCTAGGTAGAGGGGACTCTTGTGATGTTATGTATCGCAGATAGCATCGCCATTTTCACGATTGGCACCATACCCCTTTATGCCACACCCCTTTCCGACCTCCAGATTGTCGACCCCAGACCCAGGCCCCCAACGCCGTGACTTGCTCATGGCGTGGACCGCCAGAGCTGGCGGCGCGCAGGAGGGGGTAGGGGGAGGGGGGCAGGCTTCTTAGAACCACCCCCACTCCTCGGAAGGCGCGGGCCTTTTGTCTGCAGAGGTAAGGCCCGCGGCATCTCAGAAGCTGCCTCCGTCTAAGAGGCCTTCCCCCCTCCCCCTCTCTCCATTCCTGCGCGCCGCCGACAGTGGGCTGGACGCTGTCCGTCTCTCCCCCTCCCCTCCTCCTCCTCCTCCCCCTTCCTTCCTCCTTCCCCTCCCATCCCTCCTCCTCCTCCTTCCTCCTTCCTCCTCCTCCTCCTCTTTCCCCTCCTCTCCTCCTCCTTCCTCCTCCACCTCCTTCCTCCTCCTCCTCCCCTCCTCCCTCCCCCTCCCTCCTCCTCCTCCCCCCTTCCCCTCCCTCCTTCCTCCTCCCCAGGGGCCGGCTCTCCGTCCGGAGCAGCACCCTGCGACGATTCCCCGAGGCCCGGCGAGGGCCCCCCCCCCAGAGGCCGAAGACGACGTCAGAGGCCGTCGGCCGTGGGCTCCTCAGGACCCGAGGGGCCCTGGGCACGCGGCCTCCGGCCCCGACGGGGCAGGCTCTCCGTCCGGAGCAGCTCCCATCGACGGCCCCGAGGACCGGCGAGGGGCCCCCCCGGAGGCCGAAGACGACATCCGAGGCCGTCGGCCGTGGGCTCCGCAGGACCCGAGGGTCGGGTCGGGCGAAAGGGGGGGGTAGCAAAGGGGGGGGTTGAGAATTCCGCTCACGAGCTGATTTTCCCGGCGCCTCCCGGCGCCGGAGGCGGCCATGTATCGAGGAATGGGCCCCTCGGTGGGGCCGAAACCAGCTGCATGCAGCAAATTTCGTACCCCCCCCTTTCCCAATCCCCCCCTTTCGCCCGACCCGAGAGGGGCCCTGGGCACGCGGCCTCCGGCCCCGACGTCGGCCGGGCCAAGATTCGGGCGTCGGCAGAACTGGGCTTAGTGGGACCTGGTTTCGTGGGGTGTACTGTGAGCGAGCAACGGCGTATGTACGTGTACGCCCTCCGCGGTCTTGCGTGTACGAACCTCCGCTTTCAAACGCACTCCAGCGGAAGCTAACCGCGTACGTGTACATATGTTGGTGGCCTCTGATACTGGGGAACGCCACCCCCCGCCCGCTCCACTAACCGGAGCTGCCGCCACCCGACAAAGCACCAGCCAGGGCAGACCTGGTTTCGTGACTCTGGCCAGTCTAGGGGCCCCAGGGCCCTGCTGCTGACCGGGCCCCCTCACCTCTGGGCGCCCTGGCTATACACCCGAAGGATCCGCAAGTGCCCCTGGGCCAATCTGGGGGCCCCAGGGCCCTACTGCTGACCGGGTCCCCTCACCTCTGGGCGTCCTGGCTATACACCCGAAGGATCCGCAGGTGCACCGCGGGCGTGCCCGGACCGCGGCGCGGAGGCCAGCCTCTCCAGCAGCCTGCACCGGCCACACCGGCTGCAGCGGGGCGCCTGGCAGGCCGGCCGGGCCGCTCGGCCCAGCCGTGGTGGGCACCGTCGCCGTCGCCACGAAAACAAAGAAGCGCGTCGAATGAGCGACGAAAGGAAGCGGGCCTTACGCGGGAGAGTATTGCGCCCTTCCGCCGCGGCTTACGCGGGCCGCCGGCATGGCACACGGCGTGAAGAAGAAGGCACTCGAGCGCGGCCTTGCGCGGGAAGCTCACGCGCCAATGTCCGTGTACTCGGCCCCGTGTTCATCCGACGACAAACCTATGTAGTCTTCGTCGTCGTCGACGTCGTGGCCAAAACCGTCAGAGTCATCGTCGTCGTCGTGCAAGTCGTCGTCGTGCAAGTCGTCGTCTCAGCCGTCGTCGTCGTCGTCGAAGTCCAGGTCGTCAAGCTCGTCGCCAGCATCGTCACCGTCAAAGTCATCAAAGTCGTCAAAATCGTCATCGTCGAAGTCGTCGCGTTCGTGGATAAACAAAGTCAGAGTTGTCGAAGTCGTCGTCGTCATCGTCGTCGTCGTCAAAGTCGTCCTCCTGCTCCTGCTCCTTCCCCTCCTCCTCCTCCCTGCCTTGCTCCCTACTCCCACTTGCTCCATGCCTGGCGCATGGGTGGTAAGAACGTCGCAGGTCTTTTGGCTGATTTTGCAAACATGCTTCCGAGTCGTTGATTAGACACTCTCGTCCGCATATCGGCGGCGCGCACAAGGGGGTACGGGGCGAGGGGAAGGCTTCTTAAAGGGAGGCTGCTTCTTACAACAAGGCCCGCCCCTTCTACCTTCTACAGACAAGGCCCGCCTCTTCCAAGAGGCAGGGGTGCTTCGAAGAAGCCTTCCCCCGTCCGCATGACCCCCTCTGCGCGCGGCTGACCTCTACGGCTACTCCCCTGGCCTCTCCCGGGGCGCATCCTGACCAGGATTTTGAGGAGGTTCCAGCCGTGGCGACGAGAGGCCCATCAAGGCGAAAACGAGGGAGGGGTGCAGGCGTACACGTCGGTCCGAAGAGGTAGGCAGGAACATGATGTGGCAGGCCGGATTAAGTAGATTGGACTCCGGCCTTCCCAGAGAATAACAGAGCACAGCAAAAGCATATCGATCCTTGAAGGCAGGAATGCGCTTGAGGTAGATGGGGATCTGGGAATCCAGAAATACCGAGCTTCAAGGACTGGCGTGTACCTCACCCTCCTCCTCCCCCTCCCCCTCCCCCCCCCTCCTCCCCCTCCTCCTCCTCCTCCTCCTCCTCCTCCTCCTCCTCCTCCTCCTCCTCCTCCTCCTCCTGCTCTTCCTCCTCCTCCTCCTCCTCCTCCTCCTCCTCCTCCTCCTCCTGTGACCATCCACGGCGAGCGGAGGGAAGGCGCGCCGACGCCGTAGTCCAGGCCCCCCTGCTGCGGCGTCGGCCACGCGCAAAGGCCAGCGCCGGGCGCCGGGCCGTGGCCGCCCGCGTCCTGGGGGGCGGCCGGCGGGGGGCGGCGGCGGCGAAGCGCGCGTCGCGGGCGACGGCGACGACGGCGGCGGCCACTGCTGCAGCGGCGGAGGCGGCGGCGCCATGAGGTGGAGGCGGGGGCAGAGGGCCGGGGCAGCGGCAGGAGGGGGGACGGGAGGGGGGGCGGCGGCACGGGGAGGAAGCGCCAGGAGGCGGGCGAGGCGGCGGCAGTCGGCCTCAGTCGGCTACATGCAAGACAGACCCGGGATACCTTTGGTGCGCGGCTTTTGGGGGGGAGCGCGGGGGGCCAAACGCAAGCGCGCAAGACGCTGCTGTCGCAACGCGCTCGGCGATTGGGGGGCCCCCTTGGGCCCGCACCGAAAGGTCACTCCAGCAAAAGGACGTAAGGGTCCCTTACGTCTAGTCGGCTCCTGCCGTCAGTGGACAATGCGGGCCCGGCGGCAGTTCAAAAATGCACCCGCCGCGAGTTGACAAATGTCACCGGCGGTGAGCTGACACATGAGGGCAGACTTCACAGAGAGAGAACGGAGGGGGGCCCGACACTTTTCGTGCGTTCTTCACTGCGATGTAATCCCATGCTTCACCCCAGATGTTTCACCAGCGTTGCCACCAGCCCAATAGGACAAAAAAACATCTCACACCGACGCGGCTCTGGCACCCGCGGGGGGAGGATACTCCTCCGTTCGACAAGCAAGCCCGTCGGAGCACAGCCCAGCACACTTCGTTCGCCAGGCGTCTCCAACAGGCCGCCGGCGCGGCACGGGCTCACGATTGCTTTTTTGAGTTGGCCTGTGAAGGCCACTTCTCTCGTTCGCTGGCCGTGCTCCCGTCGAGCGCGCTCTCCAGAAGACCCGTACATGTTGTGGACCGCCTTCGAAGACCTCCGCGGCCAACGGTCAGCCTGGCCAGGCGCCCGGGAGGAGGAGGGGGGAGGACGAGACCACGGAGGAGGGAGCGCTCGCAACGAGGCTGCGAACAAAAACGGTTGCCCAGCCTACCTAGACAAGCGCGTTCCACCACTCGCAGCGTAGATACTCGCAAGTGGCCCGAATCCATTGCGTCGAGGCAAACAGGCTCCGTTGCATCGAACAACACTTGTTGCTGTCGACGTTTGCGAGGAGGCACTCTGCGAGTGGTGGAACGCGCTCAGTGACGACCTGTCAGCGGACAGAATCAACAAAGCAGCAGCGATGAAGAAAAAGGTGGGGAGAGGAGGGCATAACAAGAAGATCGGCCAGATGGCTAGTGATACGTGTGCACCCTGAGAACGCAGCGGCCCCAATCCTCACGAGAGGTTGCGTTGCAACCCCTAAAACTAGGGGAACGAGCACTGACATTAACATAAAACTCGGAGGCCCACGCAGACTTCTCGGATCGGCGCTCGAGACCCCGGGCGGCGCCTCCAGCGCCGCCCATGGCGCGCTCCGCGCGCCAAGGAAGGGCGTCCAACGCCGATCCAAGAAATCCGCGCGGACCTCCGAGTTGTTATGTTTATGTCATTGTTTGTTTCCCGACAAGCCGACTTCTGAATTCGGTGATTGCGGGGTCAGCGCTACCCCAATGCTGACGGATGCCTGTTGACTCGGACGCGGCGTTTTCCAAAAACCGGCCCCACCCTCTCAGCATTGAAGAACGCGCTTTGCCCGAAAGAAACGTGCTCAAGGATTTAAACTTCCATTTCTGGATATGTTTGACGAGGCTTGCAGGAACGGCATCAGAAACGCATTGCCTCGAACGCGGGCGCGCAGCGACGCTCCGCACCAACGGCAGAGCCACCAATCAACAGCAAGACTCTGCACAATCTGGCAGTGCTGACGCTGCGGGCTCGCCCGGCTGAGCTGTGGTGCAAGCCACGTGGGTACTAGAATCATCGCGCGCTTCGCGCACGCTGAAGTTCTACCTGTCTTGGAACCTAGCACTGAGCGAAAAGAGGGGCCTCGCCCGAATGAGAAGGAGCTGCGGGTTTGGATGCAGCGCGGTCGTCGCCGAAAGCGCGAAGGGGTGCTCGGGCAGGGCGAGGATTGCACATCCGCCACCGTGCCATTGGGCGCGGAGCGGGCATGTCCTCAGAACCCTTGCTCAATCTGCCAAGCTCATTCCTCAATCCTGGGGGTTATTTTAGGGGCCCGGCTCCAGAGGCTCTCGAGTTTGGGGGCGTCCACTGTTGTGGATCGTCGCTCCGCTAAGTGGCTTCAAACCAAAGGACTCCGACTGCTCGGCCCCAAGTGGCGGAGCGCCGCTCCGCGAACTGGCCTCGAACCAGGAGATTTGGACTGCATCGCTCCCAATCGCGGAGCGGCACCCCGCGAATTTGCCACGGACCAAAGAACTTCCATTGCATCGCTCCCAGTAGCAGAGCGCGCTCCGCTAAGGTGCTGAGACTGGCCAATCTCCGAACCGGCTTACAGTCCCACGACATCCCAACGAATGTCCAAGAGGCCTATGACCTACAACCCAGGCTCGGTGGCGGAATGGGCCGGAGGCCACTCGATACAAGTAGACATGCGCTTACGCATGAATGGACCCCCGCTGCTATCCCCCCGCCTCCCAGAGAGCCCCCGGTCGGCCCTGGAAGGCCGTGTTGGAGCTCTCTCAGGGAGCGGGAATGATCTTGGAGATGTCATGGTGGCCTCTGGGGGCGTATTGGTGGCAGCTGGGGGCTTCTGTCGGCCTCCAGGGGCCTCTTGGGGAAGTGTTGGGGGCCTGCTGGTGGGGAGCCTTCTTCGGGACATGTTGGGGGTTTCGCGGTTCGTCTTGAAAGAGAGGGCTTCTGGAAAACTCTCGCTGGGCTCCTCTTGGACTGTGATGGGGGCCTCTTGGACTGTGATGGGGGCCTCTTCGGCAATCCTGGGGCGGTCTCACAGACCAGAGAAGACTGGGACAAAAGAGGAGGAGGAAAGAAGGCAGCTGCTGACGGAGAGAAGGAGTAGGGCCGAAGCATGGCGGAGGAATGGCGAGGAAGCAAGAGAAGCATGGAGGAGGAGAAGGAGGAAGAGGAGGAGAGTAAGAAGGGACCCCTCACGCGGCGGTCGGCCACAGAGCTCTCCGAGACACGGGGGCCTCTGAGAGACGTCATGCAAATCTCCTGGGAAGCCTCACAAGAACCTGTAGCTCCAGGGGCAGCTCGGGAAGCCTCCTGGGGCCGTCGTGGGGGCCTCGGGAATCGCTCGGGGCGGCGCTGTGGAGGCCGGGTGGCGGTGTCGGGCTCTCGGGGGCCTCTCTGGGGGTCCCCTTCGGGCGGCTTGGGCCCTCTGGGAGCGTGGGGCCTCCCTCATGGGCGCTCGTGGACGGCCTTGGGCGCATCGGGCGCCGCCTCGGGGCCCTCTCCGTAGCCCTCGGAGCCGTCTCGGGCCGGTGCATTGAGGCCGTCTTCGGCCGCCGCCTCGGAGGCTGCGCATGCCGAAAACGGGAGGCCATGGCAAGAATCGGCGCTTCGCTCACGGAGTGGTGCGATTGCTTCCTCACGGGGCCCTCCTCGGGAAGGCCCTGGGAGCCATCCTGGGGCCACTTGGGGGTCTGAGGCCTTTTTGAAGCCACACCGAACTGGCTGGAAATGCTGGCGGCGCGCAGAGGGGGGCAGGGAGAGGGAGGAAGGCATCTTAGAAGCAGGGGTGGTTCTAAGAAGCCTCCCCCCCCCCTCTGCCCTCTTCTGCGCGTGGCCGAAACTGCCTGGAAGCCACCTCGAGCCGTCCGGACGCCTTCTTCGCTCGGCTCGGACTCCGCTGGAGCGCGCCCAGAGGCTCAAGCTATGCGAGAGGTATGGCGCAAGCTACGTGGTGCACGAGGCGCCCACGAAGCGCCCACGGGCGGGCACTGGGCGAAAACCTGGAACCACCGGGCATGTCCCCCTACAGGGGGATTTTGGGCGGAAAAAGAAATCAATCAATACCCCAAAAATAGTCAAAAACATCCTAAACCAAATTAGTCCCCTGACAACTTTTGACTATTCTTGAATATTCCTCCTGTAGAGGGACAGGCCCGACTTAAAACTACCACTCAATTACCAAGTGGGACCCCTGAGGGCAAGGATTGTTCTGGGACTTGTGCTCGAGGACACACACACACAGAGGCAAGCACGCAGGAAAACAAATAAACACTGAAGGAGTGCATGCGGCGGGCTTTGATTTGGATCGAAATGCCCATATAATGCATGCGGGGGGGGGCTCACTCCTATCCGCGTCTGCGGGGTGGGTAAGCTTGTCCTTACTTCGCCAGAAGTACATAAGTGCATCACCATGTCTGGAACCTGCGATGAGGACGACAATCGCCAGCACCACTCCAGGCATCCGACGCTGTGATTTATTTCATTCCTGGTCCCTGGACGTCTCGACCCCCTCTCTAGGCAGCCTGGCCTTCATCCTGGATCGTTTTCCGACGGCCGCAGGACACGAAACGGGCGAGCAAAGGACAAAATCGAAGAAATCGACGCCGAGACGAACGCCGGCATTGAAGAACTCATGACGTCGAAGGCGTGGGGCTTCAAAGACGACGACGACGACGACAACGACGACGACGACGACGATGATGAGCCAGCGGGGCGGACGTAAAGCGGCACCGAGGCTGCAGCTCAGGTCCTCTGGCCCTGCAGCGGGTCTCGCGCCTAGCGGGCGGCGCCACGCGCACGACGACGACGCGACGGCGGCGGCGACGACGCTGCCGACAACGACACGGCGACGGCGACGGCAGCGACGAGGACGACGACCGACGAGGCCGACGCCGACGTCGGGGCCGACGACGACGACGACGACGACGACGACGACGACGCCGACGCCGACGCCGACGCCACCGCCGCCGCCGCTGCCGCCACCGCCGCCAACGACGACGACGACGCGGACGACGGCCTCGGGGACGGACTCCGTGGGACCTCCCTGGGACCTCCTTGGGGCCCTCCTTGGGGACCACCGCGGACCTCTCAAAGCCTTGGGCGGGGGAGCTCCAGGAGGGCGGTGGCCCGACCGGGTCGCCGGCGACAGCGGCGCCAGCGGCAGCGGCGCCGGCGGCGGCACCAGCGCGGACGCCAGCCTCGACGCCGACGTCAACGAAGGGGCAGCAGAAGGGAGACGGGATTGCACGCCCACGGAGGGGAGAGAGAGGGTGAGGAAGGGGAGGAGGAGGAGGAGGAGGAGGAGGAGGAGGAGGAGGAGGAGGAGGAGGAGGAGGAGGAAGAAGTGGAGGAGGGGGAGGGGGAGGGGGAGGGGGAGGAGGGTAGAGAGGAGGGAGGAGGAGGAGAGAGGAGGAGGAGGAAGGAGGAGGAGGAGGAGGAGGAGGAAGCATGCGCCTGTCTACATTTCCAGGCAGGACGCCGCGAAGCACCGCCCGAGGCACCGCGGCGGCGCCGCTCCACCCGGCTCCCCCCTGCCCGCGCGGATGCCTCGCCGGAGAGAGAAATTGCCGCCACGGACCGTTTGAAAAAACCAAGGAGGCCCATCGGAGGAGACCTTCCCTGACCTCCCAGGAGGGCAAAACAAGAGCATCAGGACCTCGACATCTAAATTTCAGTCGAGGTTCTAGCCAGTCCAGATAGGTCTATAGGTCTGGAGGGCCATTCTTCAATACTCTGGAAGGTCAGGGTTGTTGTCACCGCGGGTGGCTTTGTCGGGCCACCCGCGGTCCAGCGACAGATCATCCTCTTCTGCGGGATCGATCTCTTCGCGTTTCCTTCTGCCGCAGCTTTGTGCCGAGGGAGCGGGCTTCAGCCTCTTTCAGGCCGAAAGCACGAAGAGCAGTCGGCCAGGCAAAGGTCCCGACCCGCTCGACAGCTCGGAGCTGCAACAATCCGCTCTCCTCCTGGCTGGGCGTCTTTGGGCTTTTGTGGGCGTCTGGGACGCCGTTGGGGGCCAGCTGGAAAAACCTCAAGAGGGCTAATGTTCCTCCTCCTCCTCCTCCTCCTCCTCCTCCTCCTCCTCCTCCTCCTCCTCCTCCTCCTCATCATCATCATCATCATCATCATCATCATCATCATCATCATCATCATCATCAGCATCATCATCATCATCATCATCATCATCATCATCATCAGCATCATCATCATCATCATCATCATCATCATCATCATCATCATCATCATCACATCAACATCAATCATCATCATCATCATCAGCATCATCCATCATCATCATCATCATCATCATCAGCATCATCAGCAGCATCACATCATCATCATCATCATCATCATCATCATCAATCATCATCATCATCATCATCATCATCATCATCATCATCATCATCATCATCATCATCATCATCATCATCATCATCATCATCATCATCATCATCATCATCATCATCATCATCATCATCATCATCATCATCATCATCATCATCATCATCATCATCATCATCATCATCATCATCATCATCATCATCATCATCATCATCATCATCATTCTCCTCCTCCTCCTCCTCCTCCCCCTCCTCCTTCTCGTCCCTCTCCTCATTGCCTCTATTCCTCCCACAACGGATTCCCACAACGGCCGGGAGAACACGTAGTCCGATAGCTTGGCAAGGCTTCGGCCCAACGTTTGACCACAGAGGCGTTTACAAAAGGCGGAGGGCGGCGGTGGTTTGCATGTATCCAAACAAATAGCTCCTCCTCATCCTCCTCCTCCTGCTGCTCCTCCTCCTCCTCCTCCTGCTCCTCCTCACCTCGTCCTGCCCTTCTTCCCCCCCACCTCCCTTCTCCAGCCCGAATCCGTCCAAGGCCGCCCCGCCCGCAAAGCACAGGTGGCCTCTCGAGCCGCGCTCGGCCGCTGCTCAGCTAACGCGAAGACCCAGGAGGAGGAGGAGGAGGAGGAGGAGGAGGAGGAGGAGGAGGGGGGATCGAAGGATCGCCGCGCTGCGTTGCAAAAGGGAGAGGAGGAGGAGGAGGAGGAGGAGGAGGAGGAGGAGGAGGAGGGGAGGAAGAGGGAGGCGGTGAACGCTGTTTCAAACGAGTTGCACCTCTGGAGGCTTCGCTCAGGGTGGGGCAGGGTAAGGCACAGGGAGGAAGAGGGGGACCGCCTTCGGGAGGGAGACCGCCTTCGTCCCATCACCCCTCCGTCGCTTGATGATCCTCATCATCCTCCTCCTCATCATCCTCCTCTTCCTCATGTTCCTCCTTCAAGTGATCGTGCTCGTGGTGCTCCTGCTCCTGCTCCTCCTCTTTCTCATCGTCATCATCATCATCAACATCATCACCATCATCAGCATCCTCATCAGCATCCTCATCATCAATATCAGCATCATCATCATCCTCTTCCTGTTGTGCTATCCTCCTCCTTGTTTCTCCTCCTGTGTTCTCCTCATCTTCCTTCTCCTCATCCTCCTCGCGGTCGCCCTCTACCTCCCATCCTCCTCCCCCTTTTTTCTCTATGCCTCGTCTCCCCCATCTCCCCCTCCCCCTCCGCCGCGTCCCTGCCTCTCTCACCCTTCTCCCCGCTCCTCCTCGCCCTCCCCCTCCCCCAATCTCCCCCGTCCCCAACCCCCCGTTCACCACCAAAGCCTGCTCCTCCTGCGACGGGGGCTCCCCCGCGCGTGCGCGCGCCTGCGTGGCCGTTGCCGCGCGAGCCCGGCTGCCCGAAGAGCCAGCTGCCGCCTCTCCGCGCGTGCCCGGCGCGCGCGGCTCCCAGCGAGGATGGGCAACCACGAAGACCACGTCGCCGCCACCGTCGATTGTCGACGGTCGACGTCGTCGGCGGCGGCTGTGTCGACCGTCGACGGCGAGCGGAGGTCTGAAGGGCTCCTGGGGATGCAGGAGGCTCAGGGAGACAGCGTGCGGGTGAGCATTGATCACCACCAACACCACCACCACCAACCATTCATCCATCATCATTATCACAAGAATCACCACCACCACCACTACCTCCTCCTCGTCCTCCTCCTCTTTCTCATCATCATCATGATCATCAGCATCAACAACAACAACAACAACAACATACTCATCATCATCATCATCATCATCATGATCATCATCATCATCATCATCATCATCATCATCATCATCAGCATCAGCATCAGCATCAGCATCAGCATCAGCATCAGCATGATCATCATGAGCACCATCAGCATCAGCATCAGCATCAGCATCATCATCATCATCATCATCATCATCATCATCATCATCATGATCATCATCATCATCATCATCATCATCATCATCATCATCATCTTCATCTTCATCTTCGTCTTCATCTTCATCATCATCATCACCATCATCATCATCAGCATGATCATCATCAGAACCATCAGCATCATCATAACTCATCATCATCATCATCATCATCATCATCATCATCATCATCATCATCATCGACATCATCATCATCATCATCATCCTCATCGTCAGTATCATCCACATCATCATCATCATCATCATCATCATCATCATCATCATCATCATGATCATGATCATGATCATCATCATCATCATCATCATCATCATCCCCATCAGCATCCCCATCATCATCATCATCATCATCATTTTCTTCATCATCATCATTGACATCATCATCACCATCATCATCATCATGATCATCATCATCATCCTCATCAGCATCCCAATCATCACCATCATCATCATCATCCATCATCATCAGCATCATCAGCATCATCAGCACCATCATCATCATCATCATCATCAGCATCATCATCATCATCAACATCATCAGCACCATCATCATCATCATTATCAGCATCATCACCCTCAGGTTCATCATCGTCCACATCATCCGTAGCATCAACATCAGCATCAGCATCGGTATCATGATCATGCGCATCACCATCATAATCAGCATCATCATCACCATCATCAGCAGCATGCTCATCACCACCACCACCACCACCACCACCATCATCAGCATCATCATCATCATCATCATCAGCAACATTTCATCAGTATCATCATCATGAGAATCCGCATCATCATCAGCATCATCATCAGACTCATCATCATCATCAGCATAATCATCGACATCATCAGTATCATCAGCCTCATCATCAGCATCATCGGCATCAGTAGCATCATCATCACCATCGCCCACGTCTTCCACAGCATCAGCATGATCACCACTATCAGCATCAGCATCATCGTCATCATCATCAGCAACAGCATCAACATCATCATCAGCATCAGCATCATCCTCATCATCAGCATCAGCATCATAAGCAGCACCAGCATCAGCATCAGCATCGTCAGCATCAGCATCATCAACATCATCCGAGTCACCATCACCAGCATCATCATTATCAACATCAGCAGCACCATCAACATCGTCATCATCATCAGCATCATCAGCATCATCATCGGTATAATCATACTCATCATCAACAGCAGAAACATCATCATCAGCATCAGCATCGGCATCAGCATCGTCAGCGCCATCATCATCAAACACACCACAACCACCATCAGCAGCAGCATGATCATCATCATCGTCGTCGTCATCTGCATCAACATCACCATCAGTATCATCGTAGTCGTCATCGTCATCATCATTGCCAGCAGCATCAGCATCATCGGCAGCATCGCCATCATCGTCATCATCGTCGTGATCTGCATCGCCCGCATCATCCGCAGCATTGTCAGCATCAACATCAGTGTCATGCTGATCATCAGCATCAACATCTGCATCACCAACATCAGCATCATGATCATCATCATCATCATCAAGAGCATCACCATCACCATCATCACCACCTGCACCATCAACAGCATCCTCAACACCGTCACCATCATCATCACCACCCGCCGCTGCAACAGCCTCAGCATGAGCATCAGCATCCTCAGCAGCATTATCAGTATCATCATCATCGTCATCAGTATAATCATCATCAAATCACCATCAGCATCAGCATCAGCAACATCAGCAGCATCAGCATCATCGTCATCATCATCATCATCATCATCATCATCATCATCATCATCATCATCATCATCATCGGTATCATAATCAATACCGTCAACATCATCATACACGTCATCACTATCGCCGCCGTCGTCGCCCTCCTCCTCCTCCTAATCCTCCTCCTGATCATCACCACACACCATCATCAGCATCATCGTCGACATCAACGTCGTCGTTGTCGTATGCATCATCAACATCCGCATCATCATCGACATCATCAGTATCATCAGCATCATCATCAGCATCATCATCAGCATCATCAGCAGCAGCAACATAATCATAAGCATCAACAGCATCATATCAGCCGCAGCGGCAGCGTCATCACTAAAAACATCATTAACGTCGTCATCATCATCCTGATCCTCATGATCCTCAGTATCCTTTTCATCCTCGGCATCCTCATCAGTCAGCAGGCGTCTCAGTGCATTCTTGATATCTGCAATAAGTAGTGCTGGGAGCGCGTGACAATTCCACAATCATGGAAACATTGCGCAGTAACTGCTATGATCGAAACAGGCGACGAGTCAACGCCGCAGAACTACCAGTCAATTTCCCTCTTAGGAACAAGGTCGTTGCGAGCCTCATTCTGACTCCTCCTCCTCCTCCGCCTCCGCCTCCTCCTCCTCCTCCTCCTCCACTTCCTCCTCCTCCCCCTCCCCCTCCCCCTCCCCCTCCCCCTCCCCCTCCACAATTACACAATATGAAAATACTCTCCGACTTCCCCTGATGGCGTCCCGAAGATATCCGACACCCCCCCGCGTATTGTTTCTTTACACGCAAGATTCCCGGGAAACGGGTTTTCGCTTGTGTTTTTTCCTCAAAATGCTGCTCTCGCCGAGGCGCCGGCCTCATTTCGGGCCCCGCTCGTTCCGAATCGTGCTCCCGCTGCAGCGCTGGCCTCATTTCCGTGCCCGCTCGTTCCGAATCGTGCTCCCGCTGCAGCGCTGGCCTCATTTCCGCGCTTCCGCCCGTTTCGACTCGTGCTCCCGCTGCAGCGCTGGCGTCATTTCCCGTGCCACGCCACAGCACACGCGCACACACACACACACACACACACACACACACAAACCCCACCACCACCACCACCACCACCACCACCACCACCAACCACCGACCAACCACCCCATCACCACCTAGCACCACCAGGCACACCAACCACCACCACCACCACCACCACCACCACCATCACCACCACCACCACCACCACCACCACCACCACCACCACCACCACCACAACCACGCACACACGCACGCACGCACGCACGCGCACCACCACCCACTAGTCCGCGGATAGAGAAAATCAGCACCATGGTAAGGGATGGGAGGGAGGGGTAGGACGTCAGATATGACGCGCGGAAACCTAGCTTGC